TATAAGACATTTCCACTCCTCAATTAAGGTGCCTTTGGAAAATTAATTGGATGTGTAAGATTATAATTTTCTGATACATACCTTCTAGATATGTGTCCAAAATAGTTTCACTAAAGTACAGGTCTAAAAGCAACAGAATTGAAATCGGAATGCTTGGGCAGGAGCTATACCTGGGCTTCCTTTGTGTGCAACAATTGGATTGGAAAGGGTTTTCTCTTTCAGCACCTTTTTTCTTTCCAAATAACCCCAATCTATTCTGTTCACTCCTTCACTGTGTCCCCTCAATATTTATAGACTCCTTTCCCTTGGACTTGTTTAGCACATGCTGCTCTGTGACTATTCTTTTCTTGTAAGTCAGAAGCTCACCAGCACTGGGACCTGCTGTGTCATAAGCTGGGATTTCCTAAGAGCAGGGACGGCTTTCCTCTCTTTCAACCGTGGACACTCATGGGGCAGAGGTTCCTCCTGCCTCCCCTTTCTCCCAGGTCCCTAGGAGAAGGGGCTGCTGTTGGCTAACTGAACTCAAGTTACCATCCTTCCACGTGGTTGCAATGGGACCACAGGCAAATGGGCCTCTACTCACAGTAAAGAATGTTATCATGGCCAGAGCAGGTTCACAGACCATGGAGCACACTGGGAATTTTCAAGTGGCTCAGTGGGTCTGCTCCTTCTCTCCGCTCTCTCACATGCTCCCCTGTCCCTTTTGTCTGTCTTTTGCTTATTTTCTGTAACATAGTCTGAAAACCTTGAACACGGAAGAAAATCTTTCACATCTGCCTTTGTAGATTTTGCACAAGCTAAAATAAAGCAAAACCAAAAAGTAAAATATATTGCAAATTCCTGGCCTTGCCATGGAGTCCCTGCAGCTGGTGGTGTCATTGCTAGCTCGTGAAGTTGGGAGGTGGGGAGTGGGGTGGTGATTGGCTACCTAGTAGAGGGTTTTGGAGCCCCTTCTCTGAGCTTCACCATATCATATAGATCAAAATTATTTGGATCCATTTTGGGGCAACTGCTTGGCCTAAAATGTCCCCCAAGTGCTTTTTTTTAAAAAAGAAATGAATTGGCTGTACTTAGAGTAGGAGAGTTAGTGTTTTTAATAGTCTGAAAAATGATATCCAGATGTTCAACACAAAGGAGGGGGCCCTCCCCTCTAACTCCAAGTCTGCCACAGTGATCCTTGGCCTGGTCCCTCCCATCTGGACAGCTGCCCTATGCTCTCTGGGGGGCTACCTTGGGAGACCGCCCGGGAGCTCGAATTGGCCCCAAACCCTAAGAAGGAAGGCGAACCATCTGGAATGCATCGTCCAGATCGGCTCCGCACTGCCCAGGCACCCTGACAGCTTTTTGGGACTGTGTGAAGCTTGGATTTGATCCATCAGGCTCTCTCCAGTCAGAGGGCTCCAGACTTCTCTTTGTCTCCTTCCAGAATCTACATCCCGCAGAGGCACAATTAGACCTATTAGTCACTTCCAAGTTTGGCCTTCTCAGGAAAAGGACCAAGGTGTACTCTGAAAGATACTTTCCAGCAGCTCTTGGACCAGAAACAAATAAAGGAAGGGAAATGGTTTCTGCAAGAACCTTTTCCCCACCTCCCTCTATTCCCACTGCAACACCCTTCCCATCCACTCCAGGCCTGATGATTGACACTTATTTGGAGAGGAGAAAGAAAATTTGTCTCATTCCAGGATGCTTTGGAGAACCTTTAAAAAAATGGCAACCTGACTTTGCACATCATTTCCACACCATGCAAGGTCTGCTTGGCAGAAATAAGGGGATAAAAGCTATAGGGGAGAAAGGGGTTAGGAAGAGGTTTGAAACTGCCCTCAAACCAAATTGTAAAAAAGGATTGGGGGTTTAAAAAAAATTTTTTTTAAACCACAAGTCCCTGCAAACTATTGATGGGTTTATTGCACATTATTTTTTTTTCCTAGGGCAATAAACACTTTGTTAGTATACTGCAGATACTGAATTTTTCCTTTACAAAGTCTGTATGTTCTTCCTACCACTTTGCTTCTACTTCTGATTTCTTTCTTTGTAGACAAGAAAAAGAATAATTTTCCCCAAACCCTTGACCAAGGGAGCACAGATTTCAAGTTCATTGGATCCAAAGGAAAGAGAATCTACTGTGTCTAATATCAGGCTAGTCCTCTCTAATGGCCAGAGTGTAGGGACAATGAATTGCAGAATTACCTAGCACCGTCATCGAAGAGTTGCCTTCAAAGCCTCCAGCGTGTTTCGTGCCCCTGCCCGAGTTGCTCCCCTGGCAGTTGCATCAAGCCTTCCTCACTTCTTCTTCCAGCCCCACTTTTAGCCACTTGTCACTACTCAGAGTTCACCACCTGGAACTAGACGGGTACATCCCAGAACCGAGACACAATGCTGCTAGCTAAACCTGTAGGTGGCCCTGCTCTCCCACCCCCTATGCCACCACCACAAAAGCTACACAGGCATATCAAGATTTGGAGCAAGGAAGAGGTCATATTGTTCTACAGCAGATAAATTAAAATTGAGCAGCAAAAGTCCTCTGGCCACCCCACATAGGAAGTGTCTTATTGTCTACTTTCCTTATTTATGTTCCAGCTTCCTGCATTGCTCAAACTACTCCAACCTCTCCAGGATCCTCTCTTGTATTTGCTCCATCGCCTCCAGTATCTACCAATTCTTTACACAGAGAACTATTTAGCCAACTCTTTGTCTCCTTCCAGGCCATCATCTTCCATGTCAAAAGAAGCCTGCAAGGTATTACCGTCGACGGGTTCAGTGCAATCTTTCCCCATGCTGGGGAAAAACCACTTGAAGCTTTTGTCCTCTGTAGGACATCTTTGTGCTAGATCTCGCTTGCAGATGACGGAATGTGGCAAGGGTGAGATGGGGCTGGGGAACTGATCCAGTGCAGAATCTGGCTCTGGAAGTGCCAGTGACAGGTACGCAAGCATCTCAAGGACAATCTCAGCTTTGATTTCATACCAAGTGGAGCCCGAGCTTTCCAATCTGGCAGGCAGAGCATAGCCCTAGGGAATTCCAGAAGCAGCCAGAGCTCAGAAAACCTCTGAGTGGACAGATCCCATATAGAAAGTTTGCCCATGGGCTGTAGGACTAGGTTTGAGGGTAGGTCAACACTCTAGCCTGGGAATGAGGACCAACAGAAGCATAGTCCCCCACCATGGCGTGGTCATTCAGAGTGGAGCTCCGGCCTCAGAAGAAGACTTAGGTGCTAGGCAGAATAACAAAGTGAAATAACAAGGTCGAAGCCTCTGGATGTAGAAAGAATTATAATGCAGGGCAAATAAGCACATTCAGCAGTCACCACAGAGGCCTCAAGTCTCTAATACATTTACCAACAAGGACACTGGGAGAGTAAAGCAGACATTAGGGCCCTAGGAGTGGGCCCGTGGGTGTGGGAACGTGACCTGATTCTAAGCCGCACTGCATGGTGGGTGAGGGGGCTGGGCTGGGCTGGGCTATTTATGTACTGAGCCACCAGGGCCAGTTATGTCAGCCTGGGGAAGGCAGAGGAAGAAGAAACAATATGGGGACTGGTCCTCTTCAACCTTAAAGGACGGCATGTTTAGTATTAGGTTAGCACCCTCCTGGCATCATGGCCTGCACCTGCCTGAAGTGGGGAAAGCAGACTGGGAGTCCAGGCATCTCTGTTCTAGCCTGGCTTTGGCCAATAACCAGTTGCGAGCCCTTGGACACGTATTTTCATTAACTGCTGGGCTTCAGTTTCCTCATTTGTGAAATCAGAAGGTTGAGCTAAATCACTGGTTTTCAAAGTGTCGTCCTCAGATGGGCAGCATTAATGTCACCTGGTAGCTTCTAAGAAATGCAAATTCTCAGGCTTGGCCCCAGATCTATTGACTCAGAAACTCTGGGAGGGGAACCCAGAAATCTGTGCCTTAAGACCCCAGGGGATTCTGATGTACAACAAAGTTTGAGAAGCAATGGGCTAAATAATTTCTAAGTCATAATCTGTTAGGAGAGAGAAAAATCAATCATTCTCTCTCTCTCTCTCTGTGTCTTTCTCTCTCTCTTACACACACACACACACACACACACACACACACACACACACACAAGCCACATATAACTTGCCCAGTAAAATGACCCATCTTCTAATCTAGTTAAAAGCCCCAAGAGCAGGTCTTAGCTGCATTACCCAGGGACCCAGCCCACAGCCTCTCTCTCCTCAGCCTGTCCCCACAACCAGAGCCTGCCTCTGCAGGAGACACATTAGTGTTCTGGCCAGCAGGAGGCAAATTGTACAATAAATTCTTGTCTCCTCTACCTCCTGCCCAATTAGCCAGAGGTGAGATAGGAAGATTTACTTTTTTCCACAAGCAAGGGCACAACCTGAAGTCGTAATCGAAGCCAGTTTCCATCCTGGCTCTCCCAAGGCTGCTGCAGCGGATTGGCTAAGAGGCGGATGGCTCTGCCTGGTAGCAGAGATTTAATAGGCAAAGCGATGCAGGGAGGAGAACCAAAGGGAAGAATAGCTGTGCTAAGCCTGTTGCCTTCTGGTTAAAAAAAAATTTATAGATCTATTTATAACCTGTCTTGCTCCACAAAGGATTTGAGGCAGCTGCCTTCTTGTTGGAAAATCCTTGATGCCAATACGTGGCCTCTGGGACCGTGGACTTCCTGGCCCGGAGCAAGGAGCCAAGTCTTCCTGTTCATGCAGCCTCTGCGGAGGATATAATGGCTACTCCCCGCAGTCTTCTAGAATATCCATCTTCCTGCTCATCTCCTTCACAGCAAAAATGTGGTCACCATGATCCTGTTTTTGTTTTGAAATGACACAAACCTGGATCCTGGCTTGACATTTTTCCGTTCAGGTCAAATAAACAAGGTGCACTAAGAGAATGTTCAGAAGCCCAGTTTGAGACGTGGTTTTCAAAGGTCTATACATAAGGGAATCCTTCAGCTTTCCTCAGTGATTTATTCCTCACGGGAGACATGCCAATGGATCAATCATCTGTTGGATACTCACTCTGCGTTGATTTGGGTTGGCAGAGGGGCATTTAAATAAGTTAATACATGTTAAGTGCCTAGAAGAGAGCCAGGCCCATAGTGAATGCTCAGTAAGTGTTACCTTAAACAGACAAACCAAAATAAACCCCAGTAATGAACATGGATTTATACTAAAACAATCTAAATACTCTTTGGGAGAAAAAGGCTGGTGCTGTGGGTTCAGCTAGGTTTGTCTCCTTGTGGTGCCAATCGACCCCTAGGAATCCGAACCCCCAATTCTGGCCTCTTTCCCACTTCCACTTATCTCTTTAGCCTAGAGCAGTATTCAACAATTACATTTTTCCTAGTTTTTTTTCTCCTCTTTCAGAACAAATAATTCCAGTTCCTTAATAAACCCGCTCAAAGGAGGCTTGTGAAAAAGGTTTAGTATCTTTGTTATGTCCCTGGGCCCTGGGCTAATAACAAGCAGAGACAGCCACACACCAGGTTTTGACGTTGGCCAGTCTTGCCTAGACAGGGTAGTCTTGTTCTGGCTCCCAAAGACCTTGGCCCCTGATTTCAGACATGCTCTGGTCTCTGACACCACCTTGCATGGTTTGGACCCTGCTCCGCCCCAACACTGCTACACCAGCATTACTATTCTGCATGCAGGTGCTCATCCCTGCCTTGCTGTTTACCCATGACAATGCCCACTCGGACTCTTTTTGGAATCTAACAAACCATTTCAAAAATTTTATGGGGAAGAGCCAAGAGCAAAGAACAGACAAGATATTTCTAAAGAAGAAAAAAGTCTTACCTTGCCAGATGTCAAGAATTATTAAGCTAGAGAAATTGGAACTGTGTTATTGGTGCAAGGACATATTAATACCCCAACAGAATAGAAGAGCGAACCCCCAAAATGATCCACACAAATATAAACATGTGGCAGGGAAGGAAGGAGAGATGGGCAAAAGGGATGATAATCTATTCGATGAGTGGCACTGGAAAATTGGTTCCTGTGAAGATGGAGAAAATATACAGCGGATTCTTACCATATGCAAAGAAATAAAACTTAAAGGTAAAAGGCACAACATTGTCTTTTAGAGGGAACTACAGAATAACTTTATGAACTCAAGATGGGAAAGAATGTGTCAGATAAGTCACGAAAGACACAGAAAAGAAATGGTTAATACATAATACATTTTTCTGCATTAAAGTTGTATGCTCATCAGAATTCATCGGAAAGAGAGTGAATAGACACGTTACAATCTGGGAAAAAATATTTGCAACTAATGTAACTGGCAAAAAGTTAGTGTCTAGAATATATGAAAGACACCAATGAATTAATAAGAAAAAGTGAAACACCCCACTAGGAAAGTGGACAAAAACCATAAACAGGCGCTCACAGGAAAAGAAACACAAACAGCTGATAAATAAGTGAAAAGATACTCAACCCATCAGTAATAAGCAAAATAAAAATCAAATCTACAATGAGATACCTTTTTCACACCTACCAGATCGGCAGAAACTAAAAAGCGTAAAGTCTAGTAATAACAAATGCTGGAACGAATGTGGACAACCAGAACTCTCGAACCTTATTGGTGTGAGTATAATTTGGCATAGTTACAGGAAAACAATTTCACATTTCCTGGTAAAGAGAAAAATAGTCACACTTTATACCCCAGAAATTCTACTTTCAGGAATATACCCTAGAAGCTCTGTATATGTATATGTATGTGTGTGTATTTATCTATATATATATCTTTATATCTATATCAGGAGACATGTATAAGAATGTTTTGTGCCACATGTTCAGAATAACCAATGCAAATATCCAGCACCACTGCTAAATGAACTTGTAAATTGTGATGTTTATTCAATGCAAAGCTATATAGCAGTGAAAATAAGTAATAACTACACTCAGCAATATGGGTCACTCTCACAAGTATTGAGAAAAGCAAGAAAAAGAAAAATACACTGTGTTGCTTCATTTACATAAAGATCAAGACCTGGAAAAACTAGAAATATATTGTTTAGGGGCACAAAATAATTATCATAGTATTTAATATGTGCTTAATACATATTCTGTAATAATATATTGTTATATGTATTAATTAGTGTTTTGGCAAGAAAGACATGGCACACTCAAATTGGGTGATTGAGGAGAATTTATTAAAGGAACTCTTACAGAAATGTGAGTTGGGTTAGGGCATGCATTCTTAGTGAGAGTAATATCATCCCCAAAGGGTGAAAATTGGTTCTTGGGGGGCAAAAAATAGTATTCTTTTCACATATGAAGCACAGAGATATGTATGGTACATAAATAGATAAACAGTATCTGTGTGGTGTTAAAATTTCGTGACAGGGAGAGGATCAGGAAAAAAATGTCTGAAAAGGCTAATTGGGGAGTGATAATGAAAAAAAGACTGAAAAACACTAGATTTTGAAAGCCAGCAAGGACTGGTGCAGTACCCTGGGGCTAGCGGAGCAGTCAGGAAGCTTTACCATCCCTAGGCCTGAGGGCGCCCGGTGGGGCTGGGAGCCTGCAGATGCAGGAGCTGTGTGGAGAGGGCTGCCAGCCGGGCACCAAGAGTGACCTTGGTAGACAAATGCAACCAATCCATGGTGATCTGGCAGAGAGGGAGCAGGGTCACCTGCCCTGATGTCATTCTCCTTGGCCTCTGCTCTCTGCCGGGGCTTCACTGTGGCCAAACCCAACAGGAGACCAGGGATCAAGGGAGCCCCTGGTGCAGTCCAGACAGGTCAGCCTCAGGGGCACCGGGCAGGATGGAGAAGATTGGAGATGGCATCTGGAGGGGCCAATGGAAATGACACAGCAAATATATGTGGCAACATTATAAAGGGCAAAGGAGTCACCAACATGCATTTCAGCATCGCAGTCACCTGGGGGTTGGGGATTGGGCAGGGAGGGGCACATGGGGCCTTCAATAGCAGTGGTAACATTCTATGCCTGAAGTTGGGGGGGTGGGGTCACAGGTGCGTGTTTCCTTCTTCAACAATACATATGTTATTTATATTTATTTGCAGATATAGTCCATTTCATAGAACAGTTTTAGAAAGTTAATATGGTAGTAATTGAGGAGAGGTAAAATGGAAAGAGCATTGGCTGGACCTGGAGACAAAGGTGGATTGGCATCTAGGACTTACCACTAACTAGCTCAGATTAAGCAAATAAATTGTCTCGTTTGCTGAACCCTGTCAGAGGCTGGGGAACCGCCATCACCAGCCCCACCTCGGGTTAAGAGCTGTTGCATCAACACCCTTTTGGGGACCTGGTCCTTATCTGAAAATCAAGATGATAATACCCTTCTTACATGGTTGTTATGATTAAATAAGATTATATCCTGTATGTGAAATCACATGCTGCACTAACTGGTGCCTAGTAAATATTTTTTCTTCTTCTCTGATCCACCTAGCCAGTGGTATATCCTGCTGTCTATTCCCTTCTAAGTTCCTGTGCTCTGACCAGCCTGATCTCCCTGGCCCCTGAGCCTACCCCACTTGGAGCTGCATCCAGACACGGGTCTGTGCCCTGCGCCTTCCCCAGCCTGGTCCTCCCACATGCTAATCTGCCTGGCTCCAGCCCTGCCCCTCCTGGGTGCTCCGCACAAGGTGTCTCTGTAGTCCCTTACAAACCAGATGTTAATGAAAATAGGAATTAAGGTATTTTCACAGAAGCTCTTCTCAATTGCAATCAGGACTATTGTTGGTCAGTTAATTGAAAAAGTTGGTTAGAACAGGATAATCACTAAGAAAATAAAACACACCAGCCTTCAACATCTTTTAACTTAAAACTTACAGAAGTAAGTTTCTCTCTGCCAGTCTTTCCATGAAAAGTCCCAGCATTTTATTTGAGTGTGAGTTCCTCATCGTCTTTCTTGTGTCATTCCAGTTTCTGAAAGGTGGAGCAAGAACCCAGTCACTTGAGAAGCCCAAGGTCACGGAGCTTGCGACAGACCCGGTACCAGAATGACTTTGTTTTCTTAAGCGCGGTGCCAAGCGGAGTAGTATCCTATAAATTTAGTTGAATCGCACCGAGCTGCTTGGATGGGTGCCCAAAGAGGGCTGGGTGGGAACAAAGAGGAGAAGCTGTGAGATGTGGCAGGGGCCAAAGGAAACTCAAATGATAGCACTGCCTCTGGTGGTCATCCTCCATCCAGAACGGGACACAGTTTCATAGCCACCAAAGACTTCAGTGGGTGTCAGTCTCTCTCATCTTGTCACTCATTCTGGGGCTGAATCTCCTCTTGGGGTGTGTGTGTAGGGGACTGGGGGTCTGGGAGGCTGGAGAGAAGGACATGGCTGGTGAGAGGGGCAGGCTTCAGCTTCCCTCCTAAACGCAGCTTCCCTGGCATCTCCGTGCCCTGCTTTGTGCACTCTGAGCTCGGAGGTCAGAATTCAGTCCACAGCTATTTAAAAGTCTTAACTTGGCCCTGGAATGCTGGCAGGCTCCAGTGGAATCAGAGTCGTAAGTACAGTTTCCTGGGGCTGCTGGGGTGCCATATGAGGGCTTAGCAAATCCCAAGGAGACAGTATACACACATGCGTACATATGTGTGTACGTGTGAACATGTATGTGTGTGTGTGATTCTTCCTCCCACCTAGGCAAGGTGAGCACAAATTGCAAATTGCAGGAAGTAAGAAAATGCTTTTCCAGTTTATGGCTCCTAAAATTTTAAGATGTGCACGTGGCTGCAGCAGATTTTATTGTCTCCCATAAATATTATCTTATTTCCCCCACATGGACAAGGCTCTCCCGGGCTGCCAGGGAGGCCATGCAAGTCCAGCCCGTGTGTCTTAGTCAACAGGGCATGCCTAGCCCAGGGCTAAGGAACGATGGGCATTGGCCCTTCCCATGGCTCCGGCAGCCAGAGGGACCGAGGCACATAGGCCACAGTGGCTGGGGTTGGCTGGGGGCAGTGGTGATGTGGAAACCCAGGTACCCTTAGCACTGTGTTTTCTCCTCCTCCTGCCCCCACAGCTCCTGATTTAGGAGAGCTGGAGCATGGCTGTAAAACTGCTGCCTGGTGGGAGAAAGCAGGGGAATTCCTGATGTACTCCTGATAAGTACTCCAGGGATACTAATCATTTACTTCCTCTTAGTATGATCTGGGCGCTTGAGAGATTTGGACTGAACAAGAAGTCCTTTTTTGAGAACAAGGGCAATTAAAGCCTGGGTTAAAAGCTCATAAAGGTAGAACCCTCTAGAACAGCCTCCTGATTTTAAAGCTATATAAACTATAACCCAGAGAGGTTCAGTGACTTTCCCCAGGTCACACAGCTTATTTGATGGCATGCTTCATGAAGCTCTTTTTTTTCCCCCGAAACAGTCAGAAAATGTTCATTGATTTTTACACTAAATAAAGAGAAAATGAGCAACTGGCTTCTGTGTTGACTAGCTTTGGGACTTTGAGCACGTTATTTAACCTCCATTTCCTCCTCCACGAAATGGGGTAAATAACATCTCCCAAGATCATTGTCAGGATGAATAAATTGATGGGTGTGAGGCATTTGCCTCAAGAACTTTAAGGGCTCAGTAAAGGCTAGTTCTCTTTTCCTTCCCTTTTTCTTCCCCCATTTTCTCCTCCCTGCCCTTTAAAAATAAAAATAAAATAAGTTTACTCTCGAGTTCAATAGGCAGGCTTGCCTCAGCCCATACTGCACCGCAGCGTACGTAGAAAGGTCCTGGCTGGCCCAGGTAAGTCAGGGGCTTTGTGAAAGGGATGGTGAGAAGGACGCTGGGGACAGGTGGGGTGGGGTCGAATGAAGAGAAAAGGCCTCCAACAGGACGTTCTTCCCGGTTGTTATTAAAAATGAGCAGGTGCAGAGCGCACTGCCTGGGGGATGAGCATGCTTGTAGCTCGGGCTTGGGCGAGGCATAGGCAATATATGTAACCAAAATGTTTGTACCCCCAGAATTTCTGAAATTAAAAAAAAAATAAATAAAAGAGTAAATGAGAAAACAAAAATAAAAATGGACAAAAGGAGGAAGGCCTCAGAGAGAGAAGGGGAGGCGACAGAGAGTGGACGCGCGGAGCAATTACTCGGATGCTGGCGGTGGGAGTCCGATCGAGGCAAGGAGGCCTGTGACGACTGCGACTGCAGGGCCCACGGATCCCAGAAGGAAAACAAGCAGGCGTTCAACTCCAGTCCCCCCAGGCAGTCAGGTGAGCTGCCTGGTGTGTGGGCTGCCTGGGGATGAGGTTCAAAGAGAGACACCTCCCTCCTCTGCAGCCCCATGAGCTAAGGGAAGGACAAGCCCGGCCTTCTGTGGCTTGGGCAGAAAGGGGTTCGCCAGCTTCATATACCAGCCACCAAATCAGTGAATCTAAAAACCATTCCATGCTCATTCCACCTCTCACGACAGCTCTTGTGCCAAAGATGCCTGGCAATGGGAAGCAGACTGCTAGAGTGGTGTGACAGATACTTGCACATACGGCATAGGTGAAAAATAAAAACAAAAGTGTCATAAAAATTTTAATCTGGTCTTTTCGTAGCAGCAATGGGAAGTACAAAGCTTTCCTCGTCATTACTCTCTCCTATAGGATCTGTAGAACAAAGCAGAACATGAGTGGAGGCGTGCGTCACTGCTGTGTAAAACCGGACTGGTGGCCACTGGAGCAGAAGAGCAGACCTGAACGCACAGTGTGGGGGGCCCACCCCTCGAGCCCAATGGAAGTCTGGTCTCTTCTTGGAAGCTTTCCTAGCAGAACCCCAGAGGCGCATGATGACTTCAGCTGTGTCTCCCCGAGGCCACATCAGCCCTGAGGGGGTAATCCAGTTTGTGGCTTTGCCCACCTGGGTTCCCAGGTGCTCACTTCCTCACACAGAGACCCCTCCTTACCACTGCAGGTCAATATCCTTGTTGTGTTCCATTCTGACACGTGGTGGCTCCATTCTGCAGTGCCCAGCTACAACCCCAAGACCCAAGAAACCAGGGTTGAAATGCAAGATGCCAACGCTGCCGCAGCCGTGATCCAAATTCTCCACTCAGACGAGGGGCCCGAGACACTGGCCCAAGGCAGGTATAGCACCTAGACAAGGGGGAGAAATGGAATTTGCCAGATACTGGATACCAGTGATTTGAGGAAGGCAGCAGCCAGGAGAGAAATGGAAATGCAAACCAAGGGCCGTCCAATCCAGCCATCTACCTGAAAGGGCTTAGGAAAGATGGAGATTCCATTTGGAGGCAAAGCAGTACAGTTGGGAAGAATTCTCTGAGCCTGAGAACATAGCTCTAGTCCCCTTTTAAGAAAGGGCGGAAAGGGCTCATGGCTTGGTTGGACAATCACTGTCCACTCAGTGCTCACTGCTTTTATCACTCATCCTGGAGAGAGGTTCTTGTTCTCTCCCTTCTGCTAATTACAGCTCTTACCAGGTTTCCAAAACGCAGCTAACACGCCCTCTGATAGGAGCGAGCAGTGCCTAGGACTCTATCAGGAGCCTGGAGCTATTTGTGAGTGGCATTACCACATCCCCTATCAGAGATATGCCTCTCACCTCACCATAATCACCCTTCCCTTGCCAATTCCGCTTGCTGACAAGGTCCCCAGCTTGGAGCTGATGGAGTGAGTGGAATGTCTTGCCTGGAATCAGGGGAGTGAGATCAAAAGTAGAGCAGGTAAAGGTACAAGGCCGAGGTCGGTGAGCCAAAGAGGGATGTAAAGGGATGTAGTTGGGGAGATCGTGTCAGCACCGCAGGGGTTTCAAGCTGGCAAGCAGGAGGGCGGTAGGGGAGGAAATCTGGAATGTGGGCTGTGGTCCTGCCTGGGCTTTCTGCAGCAGAAGCTGAGAATGGGCCACGTTTATGGGCCTGCCCAGCAGCTCAGCCCCAGGCCCAGGTATGGGCCTTTCCAGACACCTCAGCTCTCCTATCTGGGCTGCTGAGGACTTGTTCCTGGAGGCAGGGGCTTGCTTATCATTCCTCTTAGTGCAGGAAGCTGAAGCCTGGAGTTTGGGGGCCAGTCTTCAATCCTTGAGGTCCTCTCCACCACTTCTCCCCAGAGGCCTACAAGGTGTCTCATTCAAATAGGATTCTTCAGACCTGCCCTCCTGTTCCTCAATTCCCACGGTGGTTTACGTACCCTGCCCCACCCTAGACTTCTACTACATAGCTCATTTCGTCATTTTCTTAAACTGCCAGTTATATTGTTGATAATTATAGCCTGTATGTCTTATCATGTTAACTAAGAGGGAAGTTCCTCTGGGTTTCAGTATGAGTGCTTACAATGTTTTAGACCCTTTGCTAAGTGCCTCATATAGATTATCACATCGAATCTGCACAACAACCCCATGAGGTAGACATCATTCGTTATCCCAGAAATGTCAACAAACTTGCCCAAGGTTCTGACTCCTTGTGTGAGTTGAAAAAATTATAACCACTCTGTGCCTCAGCCTCCTCATCTGTAAAATGGGATTAATAACAGCACCTGCTTCATGAGATTGCTATGAGAATTGAGTGAGCTAAGATGCATAAAGTGCTTAGGATAGTGCCTGGCCTATAAGAGTTTGTTAAATAAATAATAAACAAACAACTAAATGGCGGAACCAGATGTAACCCAGGTGGTTTGACTGCAGAGCACAAGTTCCTCACTATCATTCATGACTTCTTGCCTTGTTGATTGTGTCCTGTTCTGTTTTTTCTGAAATCTTTGGCAGAGATTGTGATTTCCATTTTCCAGATGAGCAAACTGAGCTGTAGAAGACATGATCCAGCCAGTGCCACACATATTTCTCTTCCTGAGAAGTCCATGGTGATGCTTCCTGCATTCTTATGACCCAGGCACCGTTCTGTACACTTTACACATATTAACTAGCGAGTGCGCACGCAGTCTCAGGACACAGATACTGCTATTTAACCCATTTTGCATATGAGGAAGCTGAGGCACAGACTCACCTGACTCTGCTGTCATACCTGTCCTCTACCTGAGTCCTCCCTTAGGCCTGGGGCCAACCAATTCTACCTGCAAGGCCCAGAGCAGGAGCTCTGGGTTGGTACTCCAGCGACTGAGCACCAAGGAACTCTCACTGAGGGACCGGTACCACCCTGTGTCCCACCTTCTCTGCCTTGGTCTGTGAACAAGCCCTCAACTGGACTCCAGATTTCAATAGCTGTCCTGGCCTAACTTCCACAGGTACATCAGATCATCTTAGTCTGACCCATTGCTAGGGTGACCAACCGTCAGGATTTGCCCGGGCATGTCCCAGTTTTAAAGCTGAAAGTCCTGTGTTACGGGAAACCTCTCAGTCCGGCAGCTATTTTCTGACCCAGCGATGTTTTGCTCCTTGATGCTTAGTAATCGTTGCATCGTCCTATAGACTTGCAGAGGATAACCCGTCTTCTCCAAATGATCCCCCAATCACTTTAATTTAGCAGCAGCTGCAACACATTTTAAAGCACGAGAGCATAAGGAACATTATTAGGGATACTTTCTTTCCTGGTGGAGGAGATCTCTTGGGTTTACTTTCCTGAAATCATGCCAGAGGAGCGTAACTAGTCAAGTCAGCAGTTTCCTCTCTGCTCTTTACACATGACCCACATTTTCATTCTCCCCAAACACTTTACTGGTTTTCTTTCAGCTAAGGCAAGCAGCATAATGCAGAAGAAAGAGATCTGGGCTCGGCATTAGGGAGACAGCTTGAGGAAAGAAAGGAGCATGGACTTCAGAGGCAGAAAGATCTGGGTGTGACTCTTGACTCTGACTTGTCACTTTATGTCTTTGTGCAAGTAACTTAACCTCTCTGAACATTGCTCGTGAAAGGATAATGTGAGATAATCAGCAATGATGTATGTAAAGCGACTTGCACAGAGAGGGATCTGATAGACACGAGACGACTGAAGAAGGAGGCCACAGCTCACGACTGGAGCTCCCCAGGGACTGGCGGGATCCTGATCCTAAATGGGGTTGACGTGTCCACAGAGATGCTGCTGGGTGACTGATACATGCCTAATGTGGTCTCTTGGCCAAATTTTACTCTTCTTGCCTTCAATGCTACTTCCATAGGGAAGCCTTGTTACAAACTCGCAGGATCCTGTGCTCCTTCTTCTTGTCACGAACTGTTGAATTCAAATTTTATTTGGCTAATTATTTAATTTCTATCTTTTCCACCTGACTACAAACTCCCTAAAGGCAGAGACCACATCTATCTCGTTCACTGTTATAGCTTCAGCAGCCAAATCAGTGCCTGGCACACAGGAGACGTTCAATAAGTGCTTGTTGAATGAAATGAATGAATGAATGAAATGGCCATTCGAAGGTACTGGGGCAGGGGACAGAATTCGGTGAGGCCATGTAGGCAATGGTAAGCCGCTAGATGGAGCTAATGCCTTGCATGTAAGTATCCAGAGAGCTTTCTCAAACCAGAGTGAGGGGTGGTTAAGACTCAATTTCTAATTTGACTCGGAAGCGATTGTGCTGAGATTATGACATCTATCTTTTGTCGCGCACCACGGTAGGCAATTTACAATGTGTAACTATAAGTATCCCATTTTACAGATAAGGAAATAAATTCCCAGTAATTTTAAGTAAGGAGACACAACTTACAGGTGATAGAATAGGGCTCTGAACTCAGGTCTTTTGGCCTCCAAGCCTGTTTTCTCTTTAGTATACTCCAGTGCTTCCACTTCAGTGGTCTAATGCAACCAATAAACATGCTTCCTGTTGTGACAGGGCCTTTTCTTCCCCTCACAGCTGGTTTTTGTTTTATTACATATCCAATCTAATTGAGTTCTAAAGTCTCCACACAGCCACTGATTGCTAAAAAGCCAGGTGAGGGGAAATAAGAGGCAGAATAAACTCAATGTCCCTTAAACCAGACATGTAAGTCTTGAGCTCATTGACAAGCTAAGTGTAGCATTCTGAGGAAGGAAGAAATAGTCTTCAATGTATCAATCAATCATCAATAGTTCTTCATTGAGCACCTGTGTTGCACACACAGGGCTGAGTAAACACAGACGGGCTTACAATCTGGTTGGGAAGAGAAGACACGCAAATATGGAACATGGAAAGAATGGTACTAAATACGCTAAGATTCTGTCATTCCTCTCTACAAGAATCTATGGAAATTCCTGATAGCTAAATTTTCTGTGGCCTTGTGATTTATTAACTGGAAGGAAAGCTCTTATCCAAAGCATCTTTGCATGTATTTATACAATGAGAATTGTTCAATAAACTAGGTCTTAAAAAACCCAAAAGAGTATTTTTTTAATCACTAAAGAAATTTACCTTATGTTCACTATAATTTGGGTACATTCTAATTCTTTGCAGATTGCTAATCTGTCTATGGTATGTGTTTGAGACATAATACTAGATCACGTCTCCTCAGTTCTCTCCCTATATCCCCACACTGTTCTCCCATCCATCACTCTAGATCCATGAAATTTGTTGCAATGTGGAATTCATGATAACTCTGATGGAGAAAGTTAGACACTTGTGATACCAGCACATGGACAGGACTTGCTTTGATATCTCAGTAAGAAATGATGGTGGCCCTAGGTCTAACCTTGGTCCCATTTCTCATGTCCACTCACGGAAGTTGGGTGACTCCATTCAGAAAGGTAGTGTGGTATAAAGAAAAGTGCACTAGGACACTGAGTGAAAAAAAAAACAGGCTCAGAGCTGACACATGTTAGCTGTGTGGCGTCACTTCTCTGAGTCCCAGCTCCCACCTATAAAATGCAGGGAGGTGGAACTAGATGATTGTTAAAGTTGCTTCCTGGTCTAGCATTATGTGAGCCTAGTTAACTATGAGTTAGAGCATGGGTAGTCATTCAGTAAACCCAGAATATATAGTCCCCCTAAATAGAAATGGCCACACAGTCATTACATGCAGACACAAAAGTTGAGAAAGCTGGTTACCATGGCAACTCACCTTCATGAAGTCATTTATAAATTCAATTCTGTAAAATGACAATATTATGTACTGGCACCTGCAAAACTCCATAATGTTTCCTTTGCTTTCATTCTTGCCCCGGGCTACAGTGCCAAGAATTGTCATATCTGGAGAAGCAATCAGAGCTCTCAAGCTGCCTTTCGGTCTGCTAGAACAGAAGGTGCTGACAGGGGTGGGAGGAAAGGAAGGCCTCCGTTCAGTTTACTCACTCTGCAGCCGCCCTTCACAAAACTCCAGCAAATATTTTGCGATGTTGCAAGGTGTTACGAGAAGTGAAAAGCAAGCTGTGATTCAGCTGTTATGAAGACTTTGCAAACAAAAAAGAGTGATCTGTTTTGCAGCAGACTATTATTTCTGCCAGAGCCCACAGGCTGGAATACCAAAAGGGGGATTTCTGCAAGACCTTGCCATCATACATATTAGATTTTCAAAACAAGACCAGTTTTAAACTATTTGACCTACCAGGTCCCCACCATGTGAACCTCAGACCCTGGGAGCTGTGGAGTTACTGTAAGGCACGAGCATGTTCTGTATGTAGACTGAGTGAAAAATGTGCTCATCTATATGGATTATTTTTCAAATATGCATAAATGTCATTGTGATGAATCAGCTCGTATTAAAAGTAGAGTTAATACCATGCTTGGGTTTAAGAAAAAAATATATATTTTTGATGCTGAAATGTAGTCTCCATGCT